CTATTTTGAATTTCCTAACCACAAGACGGGTGTGAAAAGAATAAAGCAGGGCACGGGCATAGAGTGTTTATGAGCAGAATTGCCAAATGCCAACTTTATCTATGTAACCCTGAGCTCACTGATCCATTCGCACTGGTATAGCACTGAACACTTAAGTATCAATAGACTTTTCCAATCTGTCCTTTAAATTCTGACCAGTGCTGACTCAGGGGATCTTGTCTGCAAAGGAACACCTCCTTTTCAGCCTGGCCCTGGGCATGTTAAATCCCAATACATCTCCATCCTCTTTGTACTGTTCGGGTGTGCGAGCAGACATTTACCTTCCTCACCATGGTGATGGGAGAAGAGCAGACCTCTGCTTTTTTACTCTGGAGAACGAGAGTAAAAAAAAAAAAAAAATTTTTTTTCTCCAGGGAAGCCCGGGGGGAGCGGGGGGGGGGGGGGAAGTTGGGGGAAGAACTGGGGTAGCCTGGCTGCGCTGAAGCACAAAGCCCTGTGACGTGGCGCCCACGTGGTGGGCTGGCCGTTTCCCAGGCACTGCAGCCGGAGGAGGGGCCAGTTGCAGCCGAACCCTGGCTCTAGCCCTGAAGCAGGAAGATCTGGGCCCAGGAGCCAGGGTAAGAAATAGAACAGGCTGGGAAATTGGAAATGACCGGGGTAGGGGTGGGGGGGTGGGGGGAAGGTGGGGTAAAGACAGGGGAGAGGACCATCTGTGATGGGAGGGGTCTCATGATCCTTAGTACTCTTCGGCCCTCTGGTACCCATCGCTGGCTGAACCAGTGCACGGGTAGGGTGTTTCCCTGTGTTGCTTCGTGCCCATTCGCCAGATGCTTTCGATATGGGTGTCTGTGTGAGTCCTCTTGAAATTCTTTGCCTATCTTAAGCCTCAAGTCATATTTACAAATCTGGCCTTCCATGAAGTCAGTTTGAGAAGTTTGGCTGCTTATGTTTTGAGCGCAGTTATTAGAAGCTATGTATTATTACAAACAAGTAGAATTGTGGCTGTTGAATCTTCTGGGCTTTATGCCCTCTACCGGCTTCCAGGAAATGACATGAAGAGAAATATAGGTGTGACCCAAATCGATGTTGCAAATGCCCATTATGTGGGTGTCTGCTTACAGAGTTTATCCTCTGAAGAGTATATGGATTAGAGGCCTAGATGAGGAGTTGTGAATCTTGAAATTAGGTTGTGATATTCCAAGGATGTCAATTAACCCAATTATTAATTAGTATTTGAATAAATACAAGGACATCAAAACAGTCTGATCTCAGAAGGCGATTATGGTCCTAAAGGTGAGACCAAATAAATACAGCAAAGTATTAGAGAACAAGACTAAACAGTTGTGTTGAGTTTCAAGTTCAGAGATGAGTGATTCTACCTAGTCTTCACATCGTTATGTTAAATGCCCTCTTTTACCCTGTTTCAGGATTATGGAACCATACACCATGCTCTTCCTGTAGACATCCCAGCAGAACCCTGACATCCTGGTTTTAAAACATCTGCAACAGAGGGCACAGTACTATTCTATTAGTAAGTAGTGGGGGGGGGGGGGGAGGGGAGGGAGAAGGGAATGGCAGCCAAACTTTCAACTATGTATGAATATGGGTTTAAAGGAATTAAAAAAATAATCATTTTTCTTTCTGTAAATATAATCTCAGGCTGATGTAAAGGATAAATTATTGATAGTACAAGAAATGTTGAATCAAGGCCAGGGAGGAGAGAGAGGAGCTAAGTACAAACGAGCCATGATTTTATACTAAGGATAGTTCACCGAGTATGTAATAGGAGCAAGATAAAAGCACTTAGAATTTTCTTTCTTTGCAAATAATTATTTTATGGAAAGGTGATTGGGTTTATAATACCAAATATTAACATGGGTTTCCATTTTGTTAATGCAGATTTCTTAATCTTGTATTCTCTTTTCAGTAATTATTCAAATCAAATACCTAGCTTTGAACATAATGTTAAAAACACTAGTTTCTGAATGAATTTATTAATGTATTTGTTTTCAAGTGGTAATACCCAATGAATACCCACCTGGCATCCTGGTTACATCATTCATTCAGCCCTGAGTGCCTCTTATGGGCCAAGTATAATAGTTGCAGGGAGGAGGGAGGGATAGGGAACAGAAGAAGACTTAACCCTTCACGGCCCACTGTTAAATATTGTACAAGGTGCAATGGCCGCACAGTGAAAGTACTTGTCATTCACTACTTCAAAGGAACCAGAGTAGAGTGGACAGTTTACCTGGCCTGTGTTGCCCATCTCTCTACCCACTGTGTTATTAGCCAACTTACAAAGTAGAATATGAAACTCATTTTGAAAATATCCCTAAATAGCCGAAACCGGTTTGGCTCAGCGGTAGAGCGTCAGTCTGCGGACTGAAAGGTCACAGGTTCGATTCCGGTCAAGGGCATGTATATTGGTTGCGGGCACATCCCCGGTTGGGGGTGTACAAGAGGCAACTGGTCAATCGACGTTTCTAGCTCTCTATCTCTCTCCCTTTCTCTCTGTAAAATATCAATAAAATATATTTTTTTTAAATATCCCTAAATATGTGTTCAGAACCTTAAGAGAGATCTGTATGATTTTGATTAATAACTAAATGTGGGTAAGGAACAATGTGTGGTCTATTTCAGATAATGCTGCTCTTAAAAGACTAGTCACAAACTTAGAGTTTTTAGAAATGATTGATTGTGAATAACCATGTAAATAGCATTAACCTTCCAATCTTAAATGTATCTATATATAATACAAAGAAACTTACAACACAGGTACAGTGGACCTATTAGGAACTCTGTAACCAAGGAATGTGTACATCTAGCCACTAAGTGCAGTATTTTAACCAAAATTTGAAGAACTTATGAAAGATAATTCTTCAATAGGAATCTTTGGTTAATGGATTCATGGTGTGGTGGTTCAGATATGGCATGTGATGGTAATCTTTTTAGTCATGAATGTATAATCTACATAATTTAGTGCTTAAAGGATTAATCAGCAAGTTATGTAATTAATGTCACAGTAAGTTAGTTTGCCAGTAGCTCTAAAACATGCTAATCTGATGCTTCCCCTCTAATTTGTGTTTAACTTCATTTGAGATAGTACCTTCAACTCAGCTATTTGGCTACCCAGTGAAGGCACACATATCAAAAGGTGATCTGAATCTTCTCCCTAGAAAATTAGAAACTTTTCTGATTGTAGTAGAAAGAAGATAATGACTTAGGAAGGTTTTATGTTTCTGGAATTTTACTTTCTTTACTTGTCCAACAGTGGCTAGTTGTACTATTTATAGTTATACACTGTGCCTAAATTTTTATATTTTTATTTATGCAAACTATAAAATTCCCCATACATGCAAATAATAAATTCCATTTATTAGAAGTACTTTTAAAATTAGCAGTTTAATCAAACAACATGCATTTATGGAAGCTCCTAGGAGCTCAGGAAACTACCACACAGTATAAAGGATAATAATGAAAATATTAATAATTTCTATTTGTTGAGTATTCTATGCCAGGCATTATGTTAGGTATTTTATGCCTTTCAGTTTTCAAAGCAAACAGATGATAAGATGATCCACATTTTACAGAAGAGAAAACTGGATTTCCAAGAGGGTTTCCCAGCACTGATGTTTTTAAAAACTATGTTCACAACCAATAAGATATAGAAAGTTAACTAGGAAGTCAGTGCCATAGAAAGCTGAGCCACACCAGTTCAGCCACAAAGTAGGATTCAAGTTACCTTTGAAGTGATTAATTTGTCTGGAATGGTTATTATAAAAGTAATAGGGCAGCATCCAAATGGTAGGGTGCCTAAGAAGGGAAGGCTGGTTAGGGAAGAAGGGCATACTTTACTCAGATTAAAAGCTTTGTGGGAATCAATGTCAAAAAAACAATGTCAGGAAACTGGCAATGAAATTTAAAGCTATGGGTGTAAAAAAAATCTGTTTAAAAAATGTATTGACTTAGATTTACTAGAGCAACCAGAATTTGCTGAAACAGAAGTAGGCGAAATATATATGGTGCTCTGACCTCTTCACTTCCCTTCTTCCAATCAGGTAAAGCAGATATTCCATCCTGCTCTGAAGACCAACAGTAAGCGATGACCCATGTATTGTAATGTGAACATGTTATTTGTCAATCATTTTTATTTTGCCAGTGATAAAATGATACATTTAATATATCCATGGTTTTTAAAACTTTATGGTTAAATTTTTATTATTGAGAGAATCAAGTAAATTTTACTCACTATATCAAATTGAAACTTAAATGAATTATTTATATTTCATTCTAAAATAGAAGCTTTAAATAATTACCATGTTTATGACTTTGAAACAATTCACTAGAACTATCTTTAATAGAAAAAAGTAAAAGTGTGACAATTTATATATATTATATGTACTTTAAGGACATAAGTCATGTTCATCAGTTTACATTTTACTAGAGGCTTGGTGCATGAATTTGTGCAAGGGTAGGGTCCCTAAGCCTGGCTAGCGATTGAGACCTATGAGGAGGAGTAACTGGGGGGAGGTACCCAGGGAGGTTGGCCAGCCATGCCCCCTAATAGGGGATGATAGGGTAGGGGAGGGGGCTGGATGTCCATGGGGAGGAGTGGCAGGAGGGTGTCTGGCTAAGGGGAGGGGCTTCAGGAGGTTGTCTGTGGGAGTGCACTGACCACCAAGGGGGCAGCTCCTGCATTGAGCATCTGCCCCCTGGTGGTCAGAGCACGTCATAGAGACTGGTCAACCAGTTGTTCCTGTGGTTTGGTTGTAATAGTCGCTTAGGCTTTTATATATATAGATTGTTCCTACCAGAGACAATGTTAGTTCCACTATTATTCTACTGGTACCATATGGCAGTCTTTGCTTGTTATATTATGAATTTGGGAGTCATAGTGACAATGAGATAATATGTTCACTATATTGATTTTCCCCTCTTGTTCATGTACTACTAGTTTCAATGCAGAACTCTTTTGTTCTCTTTTAACTTACTTCTCAGCAATGGCTTTACTCTCAGTGGTGCTATTTTTGGCTGCTGTCCTGCTTCCACCTTTACCTGCAGAAAGTAAGGTAATGTTAGAGTGGAAAATCCTTCTAGCCCTATCCAGGCAACTTTGTGGGATGGCAAGGCACTTTGAGAGTGGGAAGGGCAGGGGTGTCTGGCCCATCACAAAGTACTCACTGGTTGCTCAGAGCACTTAGCATAATTACCTAGATGAAAGTCCAAGGCTGCACTGTCCAATAGAGTAACTGATAGTCACATGTGGCTATTGAACACTTGAAATGTGGCTTGTCTAAACTAAGCTGTATAGGAACTCTTATGCACTGCTGGTGGGAATGCAAACTGGTACAGCCACTGTGAACAGTATGTAGTTTTCTCAAAAAACTAAAAATGGAACTTCCATTTGACCCAGTGATCCCACTTCTAGGAATATATCCCAAGAGATTAGAAACACGAATCAGAAAGGATATATGCACCACTATGTTCAGAGCAGCACAATTCACCATAGCTAAGATTTGGAAACAGCCTAAGTACCCATCAGCAGATGAATGGATTAAAAAACTGTGGCACATCTACACAATGGAATACTATGCTGCAGTAAAAAAAAAAAGTTCCTACCATTTGCAACAACATGGATGGAGATGGAGAACATTATGCTAAGTGAAATAAGCCAGGCAGAGAAAGATAAATATTACATGATTTCACTCATTGGTGGAATACAATGAACAACATAAACTGATGAACAAAAAACAAATCCAGAAACAGAAACATTAATCAGAACTTAAGCGGGAGAAATCAACCAAAGGACTTATATGCATTCATATAAGCCTAATCAATGGACACAGACAGCATGGGGTTGGGGGCATGAATGGGAGGTGGGAGGTAATGGGGGAATAAGGACACATATGTAAGACACATATGTAATACCTTAATCAATTAAGAAATAATAAAATAAAATAAAGTGAGCTGTACTGTAAGTATAAAATACATTCCAGATTTAAACAATTTAGTATAAAAGGACAGCAAAATATTGCTTTAATAGTTTTTATATTAAATACACATTGAAACAGTATGTTAGATAATCATAAATTTAGGTAATTAAATTACATAAACTTTATGGAACAATCACACACCCTACTCTCCTTTCAGACTTAGACTCCACACACAAAGATAAACCAATAAGTATTGGTGACTGATTTAATACCTTAATTATTTCTGTTAATAAAGGAAAAGAATCAGCAGCAGTCTATAACTGGATGGCTTTGCTTCCTCCAAATTACCTTGGAGATTTGTTTAATATTGCAAATTTGTCTTTTGAGTGATTCCATAAAATGTAACCACAAAAGGTAGAATGAGTTATGTAGAATTTTGAATGCATTTCAACTGAGCCTAAATATTCTTTTCCCAATACATTCTAAATACATCTGTCTCTGACTATAGATACCATACAAGGTCAATGTTCCCTCAAAGTCTAGGATGAACCTTGACCTCCCCTTAATTCCTTTTGCTATCGCCTGATCAAATGTAAATAAATATATCTTAGGGATCCTATTGTGCACTTTTGTGGTTATAAAATATTACCACTCATATGCCATATTAAGAATTTTCTAAAACTAGAAATGGGCATCTGTGGCCTTAAACAATTTTTAAAATTTTGTCATGCTATGAATTACACTTTAAATTCTCAAATCTTCAAGTTACTTCTTTCGTATCTGTCACAGCTTTGGCTGAGATTCCTTGATGATGCTTGGCAACTAATATTGGCTTAACTGAACACTTTTTAAAGTGGTCCTTGCTTCCTTGAATCAACTTATGTATTAAAGGTTTTTCAAAAATGTTTTAAAAACCCTGATTTCATTTCCCTTTAGGATCCAGCCTTTTCTGCTTTGTTAACCACTCAATCGCATATCCAAAAAGATATTGTAAATAAACACAATGCATTAAGGAAATCAGTCTCTCCACCTGCCAGCAACATGCTACAGATGGTAAGAAGCAGCAATATAAGGAAAGTGGTGGGTACAAGCTGGTAGTTGGCATCTATTGTGGCTTACAACATGCTGCCTCTGTTTTACTGTTTTATTTGAGTTATATTATAGGAAGAAATTCTTAGTTTTACTTTATAATGGTTAAACAACTCATCAAGTTTACAGGGCTATACGTTTTGGAAGACAGAATTAGAAACCAGACTATCAGGCATCAAATGTGAAGCTGTTACATTTTTTCTTCACTCTTTTCTAGTCTAAAATAAACCCTTTTTCTTTCAGAATCAGTGCCATGGAGGGTAAATAGCACCCTTTCCAGGGCACAGTCCCTGATAGCTAAATATCTCCTATATGAAAACAGTGGGCTACAAATGGAATTGGGAATAATCTAAATCAGCTTATTATTATCGAAATCTATAATAATAAAAGTGTAATATGCTAATTTGACCTGATAGCCAAACGACCTCAACGTTATTCCAGATGTTCTTCCAGACACAGCCACAGCGGTGGGGGCCAAGGCAGAGGTGGTTAGGGTGATCAGGCAGTAATTAGGCAAAGGGGTTAGGAGCAGTCAGGCAGGCAGGCAAGTGATTAGGGGCAATGAGGAAGGCAGAGTGGTTAGGATCCAGTGGTTAGGATCCAGTGGTTAAGATCCTGCTTCGGGATCAGGCCTAAACTGGCAGTCAGACATCCCCCAAGGTGGGGTCCCAGATTGCAAGAGAGTGCAGGCCAGACTGAGGGTCACCCCTCCCCCACCTCATGCGTGAATTTCATGGACCAGGCCTCTAGTATAATTATAATACTTCATATGGGATCAATATTTAGAATAGTACCATCACTAAAAATCCCAGGTGTGGCTGCTGTGCGATCATAAATAGCCATTTCTCTTGTGGGAAATGGGCATTGTGGCAGATAAAGACACACCAGAGATATTTTAAGATCAATGACAAATAGCTAATACATCTACAAAAGTTTTGAAGTAGTGCAAATTAATTTTATCCCAATCAGATTATAATGTGCATGTTTTGTTTGAGTGAACTCTTAAGTGTATATATTTTTTCCTTATAATAATTAGGAATGGAACAGAGAAGCAATGATAAATGCCCAGAAGTGGGCAAACAAGTGCACTTTAGAACACAGTAAGCCAGAGGAACGACAAACCAGTATGTAAATTAATAAACATTTGTTGAATAAAAAAGAAATAAAATAACAGTGGACAAATAAAATAGAATGGATCCTTCTGGTGTATTACTTTAAGACTATGAATAAATGTTATTTACACTTGGCTTTTTGTAATCACAGTATCTGTATATGGAGAGAGAGTTATGATAAATGCCATTTTGTGCTTATTGATTGATTGTTATACAAATAATTTCTCAAGCAGTATCTAATTTGTTCTTCCCAACCTCCTCATGAGTAAACTAAAACATGGAAGGAATGACTTACCCAAGAACACAACCTGATGTAGTGACATATATCAGAAAGCTAAACAGGCTTTCTGATTTCTAATCCACTGACCTTTTGTGATATTATATAGCCATTTGGTGTTCTGAAATTATTTATTTTGTATTCTCAAAATAATTGAATTATGTGAAATTTTACCTAATTTTTTTTCTTTACAAATATGAAACCTTTTTAAATCAGGATGATATTTTGATTATGTTGATTCATTAAAAATGTTTTTGATGATAATCAAGTATTTTGTATGGACTGTTTTAATTATAATGCATGGAACCATATAGTAGATTCAAAAAAATAACAGAAGATATATCAAGGATCCTGGTGTTCAAATAGTTGATTTCTTTTACCATTGCAGCTTGATCGCTTTCCTCATGTTCTATTCCTTCACAGGTACGAAATGTGGTGAGAATCTCTATATGTCAAGTGACCCTACTGAGTGGTCAGATGCACTCCAAAACTGGTTTGATGAGAGTGACGATTTTGTTTATGGTTCAGGACCCAAGTCTTCCAGTGTAGTGGTTGGACATTATACCCAGGTAAAGGGAATAATGAAAATATTTCTACCGCAAATGCTCTCATACAGAAAGCTTCTTCAAATTATGACCCATTCTAGTGTTTAATTTGGGTAAAGAGCCCGAATAGGTACAATACAGAACCATTGGACTGTACTTCATCTGCAACTGTCATTTTATTTTGATGGCTTGCAAAACTCTTGGTTGGAAAGTGCAGTCTGTATTTCTCCAGCATTACAAATGGATAGAGCAGTGAATGTACATAAAAATTTAATATTTTAAAAGTGTGTGATTTTATTTCAATCATATAAATATTTCCATGACATACATGGCTGCAAGATATAGTAGTAACATTTTTCCAAGTTTTTATTTGGTATTTGTCCTTTAATATCTTCCCTTTCTCACATTATTCTTTATATATTCCCTCGTGGATTTGTAGCTTGTTTGGTACTCTTCTTACCGTGTTGGATGTGGAATTGCTTATTGTCCCAATCAAGAAAATCTAAAATACTTCTATGTTTGCCACTATTGTCCTGCGTGAGTATACACTTTAGAGATAATGTCAATATTTCCATCTGCAATTTGATACTTTTAAATTTTCATATATTAGACAAATCAGAATAAAAACGTGTTTCAGTAAAGGAAAGGAATAAGTCTTTGGAAATGCTTTTTCAGGTGAGATAAGAGACCAAGTTCTCAGACCAAGTATAAATGTGAAGCTCCTTTTTCTCAACTGTAAAACAATGTCTTTTCTCTCAATTGCCTTTCCCCAGTGCTCAAGATTATTTTCTGAGCATGTGGAGTGTGCGTGTCTCTCGATTAGCTATCATCAGTTCTCACTACTTTCATGCCCTATTGATGCTTGATGATTAAGCAAGGGGTGGTAGTGCAGTGGCAAATTTGGGATCAAAGATTGTGATTTCTGCCTTTTCTGCAAAAATGTTTCTGCTCCTTTTTATCTACAAGCTATTTGCATTTCTACCATTAAAAATGATTCCTTCTCTTGAGTTTCAGAGGTTTTTCAAGAGATCTTTAATATATTTCAGAGTCCAGAAAAAGTTAACATCTGAAGTCTTTCTCAGCAGTTTAAATATATAATCATAAAATATATTAATGATTATATATAATTATAAAATATATTAATCATAATATATAAAATATAAAATATATTTTTATATATATATATATATATATATATATATATATATATATATATATATATATATATTGATTTCAGAGAGCAAGGGAGAGGGAGAGATAGAAGCATCAATGATGAGAGAGAATCATTGATCGGCTGCCTCTTGCACACCCCCTCCTTGCATGTGCCCTGATGGGGAATGGAACTGTGACCTCCTGGTTCATAGGTTGATGCTCAACCCCTGAGCCACACTGACTTAGCTTCAGCAGTTTTCACACACAAAAACAGCTCCATAATCAACCACCCCACACTGCCTTGACTTATAGCAGGCAACATGCTGTTTCATCCAACAATATATTTTAAGTCATCCACAATAAATCGTATGGACATATCAAAGATCTAATCTCAACGGATCTCTTAGCTTAAATTCTTTATGACTAGAGACAGGGGGACCCCGCCCCACACCAAACTAAATCTCCCACATCGTTCCTGCCTAGAAGTATATACTGTCCCTAGTACATATCAGAGAAATTGTGGTATTTTATCATCTTCCAAATATAAATGATATGGTAGCATTAAGTATTTTCTTTCATACTACAACTCCCTAGACCCAAGAGTTTCTCCTGTCTGTCGAGGAGATGTGGTCTAACCCTAGCCAGCACAGTGGGGTGCACTGCTTTACCAATTTAACCACATCTTGTGGGAGGTGAAGAGAGTGTTGAAATAGACTCTGAAACGTTTAGATTGCAGTTATTTCAATTTAGTTGTTCAACCTACAGAATAATAGTGAAGGAGATGGGTCAATGTTTGAGGTATTTTCTTAATTTGGAGGCCATCTGAATTACACATTGGGAATTGTAACTTTTCACTTTTAATAACTATGTATATTTGGTGACTAAGGCTATCCGTGGAGTATAAGCGAAACAGCAAAGTGAAAAATATTTGACATTATGATTTTTTTAAATTTCAGAGGCAATAATGTGAGTAAAAAGAATACCCCTTACCAACAAGGAACACCCTGTGCCAGTTGCCCCACTAGCTGTAACAATGGACTATGCAGTAAGTTTGAAGTGATTTTACCTGCTGTTATAATAAAGAGTTGATATGTTCTTTTCTTTTTATGGGTTAAAAACTCTCCTAAAGTTACCAACTTAAATACAGGTATTGATGCAAAATGCAGAAATATTCCTCAACAGGATGTGTTTAAGGAAACATTTTTACACTTTCATAACTTACATATGTTTTGTAATGAAAAGGATATTACCAGCTCTAACATAATGAAACATCTACCATCAATGGCTTTTGTGACTATAAAAAGCTCATTAATATTAATTACACAAGGTTCTGGTAACTTTTCATCAAAGTATCATTACACAAAAGGTGGCTTTTTGAAAAAATGAAAATAAATCTGCAGATGTGAGATGAACATTATGGCTCAATCTAGACAGGCAAACCAAATATTAAATTTCTTTTGTGCTAATATATTCATCATGCTGATTATCATATTTTATAGTATAATTGGAATCATAATGTTTGACTTGACAAATGATCACTTACCTTATCATTTGATAGTAGCTTTGTGTACTTTATAATGACAAAAATTCAATCTGAATATAAAATTGGTTCATACTGTAGCAAAAGGAGAGAATAAAATAAATGTCATATATATCATTTCGAAGTTCTTATGAATAGAAGTAAAAAAAAGCTGTTGGCCTTTCATAGTTGGGATGCTTTCATTACAATTATGAACAATAGAGCTGACCCAGTCACTGAGATTTTTACCTTTCAAACTCATTCATCTTCAGTTAGCCTTCTTTTCATAAAGCTTTTATTCAGAATATTGACGGTATCAAAATTATAAATCAACTAAAGAAGAAAAAAGTTGAATATTTATACCACTGCTGAATACTATTTGCTAAAGATCTTGGAATTATCCTATTAGCATAAGCATTCAACTGAGAAAGAGAGAGGAGAGAGAGAGAGAGAGAGAGAGAGAGAGAGAGAGAGAGAGAGAGAGAGAGAGTTACTTTGTTTTGTTGTTCCACTTATTTATGCATTCATTGGTTGATTCCAGGATCAAACCTGCAATCTTGGTGTATTGGGATGTCTCTCTAACCAGCTGAACCCCAGCCAGGCTCCCTCTACACCCATGCATTTTGAAAATCTGGATCGTTTTGCTGCTACTAAAGAAAATCATAACCTGTAACTAATCTGTTTTTGTTACAGCCAATAGTTGTGAGTATGAAGATCTCCTTAGTAACTGTGGTTCCTTGAAGACAACAGCAGGCTGTGAGCATGAATTGCTCAAAGAAAAGTGCAAGGCTACTTGTCTATGTCAAGACAAAGTTTTCTGAAATGCTCAACACGCAATGCACAAGATTAAGTGGAAAAGGGCTGCGTTACTTAGACCTGGTGGAGAAAGGTGCATCATTTAATTGACACATCACAGAGGGGACATTGTAAGCCTGTTAGTTACACATTTGATTCCAAACAGCAATGCATCTTTTTTTCTAGGATCTTCACAGTAATCTCTCTCATGCATCGATTTACAAAAGCAACACGATGTCAACTTAAGACTTTGAGATACACTTGTTACTTTAAAGTGAACGAATTAAATCACGTTGAGGATGTCTAAAGCTGTAACCACAGGATTTATTATAGGTCACTAGAATTTTGGACTAAAATGAAGAATCACATGTTTCATGAAACAACTTGGAGGAAAAAAAAAAACACCTGTAAAATCATTGTCATGCCTACTACATGATTATTTACTTGTATAAAGAATGAATTCAAAGATTGGATCTACCTTTGTCTTATGGTGTCCTTTAAAAACAAAAGTAGCTTTTAGAATAAAGAACATACCTAAGCAACCATATAGGTATGATTTTTGTGCAATATTTTATAGGATTCGTAATTACTCCAACTAGACTCATCCCAGTTAAATGATTATATGGAAAAAAATTTCCAAAATATTTACCTATAAAATTAAACTTTAACAACAAAAAATCTGTTCTTACTTCTTTTTACTTTATGACATTTGATAATCCTATTTATTTAGTTGATAACTTTTTAAAAAGACGGTACCATCTGACAATACGTACAAACATATCCTCCTCCCCAGAAGAAAAAAAAATAGTAATAAGTATTTTAGAGATATTTATCATTGATGAGTCTTTGCCTACATTATTATTTAAGATTGTTAAACAACAGTCAAGTTACTCTCTTACAGGTAGTGATAAAAAGAAAAATGATTGCCTCAAACATTTTTACTAAAAAAATTAAAATAACTCCTCAATTTAAAAATCTAGAAAAACAGTAGAATAAATCTAAATTGAAGAAGAAAATGATAGTCATAAATAAAAATTAATGAAATAGATAGCAGAAAATAAAAATATATAATTAATAAATCAAAATTCTGTGTTTTGAACCAGTGTTCCCCAAAGTGTGGTACGTGTACCCCCAGGGGTACGGGAAGAGTTTGGTGGGGGTAGGCGTTGCACCGGAGTTTGGTGGGGATATGCACTGCACCGTGCTTAGTTGCACCTAATTCCACATTCTCATGAGTACAAGGGGTACTCAGCATTACAAAAATTATAGAAGGGGCACACATATGTCAAAAGTTTGGGAAACACTTTAGACAAATGACTAGGTGGCTTAATACAGAGAGAAAGATAAAACAAAAAAATTAAGATGGCAAGGGAGAAACATCTATTAAAATGTAAGAAAGAGAGATGTGGCAGGTAGGTAGCTATTAAAACCTCTATAAAAATATATTTGGAAACTTAGATAAATAATTTGCTAGGAAAATGAAAATACAAAAATTGACTCTATTAGAGCTAGAAAGTTTAAACCACCCATTACTGGTATGTAAAAGCTATTAAGAAGCTATCACCTCTCAAAAAAAAAAAAGTGTATGTGTGTGTATGTGAGAAATATAATGGCAATGAACATGAACAAATAATTATCAAAAATAAATGAAAATGGTCACTAAACATAAAATAAATTTTTATTCCATTCATAAAAAGAAATGGAAATTTAAACCTCATTGACATAGCACTTCATCTCTCAAATTGTAAAAATTAAACACACACACACACACACACACACACACACACACACATTCTGCTATAGTTTTTATGGAGGGGTATTTGGCAATGTGTACCAAAACTTCATGTGCATTTACTCTTTAATTCAGCCATCTTTCTGGGATTCATCTTCAAATCATTTCTAGAAATTTTATATTAATTTTAAAATTAAAATTAAAATTTTAAATTTTATCTTGAACCATATGATGATTCATATTGCAACATTACTTATTGAAATAGTATATGTAATTGCAAAATATTGAAAAAGTCTATAGCCCACACACAAAAAGTTGGTTGAATAAACTATGGTTTATTCAACATCTGGTAGCGCTATACATTTTTTATGAAGAACAAGAATCTTTATGAACTTATCTGGAGTGATTTCCACGATATAGCCTATATAATAAAAGCCTAATATGCAAGTTGACTGAACAGCAGAAGGAATGGTGGAACATGGGTTGCTATGATGCACAATGACCACCAGGGGCAGACACTCAATGCAGGAGCTGCCCCTAGCCCACATGCTCCAGGCCAGCCAACGTGGGTGCCAGTGGGGGTCCTCCGATTGCTCTGCTAGTCTCCCTACAGAGGAGGTAACTGGTGGTAGTGGTGGAGCAGTCTGGGGCTGGCACCAAAGGAAGCAACCAGCAGTGGTGGCAGAGGACCAGGCTGGTGAGTGGGCCGCACCAGGCCAACCAAGCTCAGTGCCAGCAGGAAACCCCAATTGCCCTGTCCTTCATTACAGGCCAGGCCTAGGGACCCTACCCATGCACGAATTTCGTGCACTGGTTGTTAAATAAAAAATAGCAAAGTGCAAAAATGTTTTTGATAGTATTCTACCTTTTGTGTTAAAAAAAAAAAAAAGGGTAAATGCAAAATTACACCTGTACTACACATGAGAAAATTTTTGCAACATAGGAAGAGTGTACCAGAAACTAAGGAAATCAGTTGTATACAGTGGGTGGGTGAGAATGGGGTGGGCAGATTGGAATGTGTCAAAGGGGTAGGAAAAATTGGTTGGAGGGAGTGATTCTTCTCTGACTTCCTTTTGGTATAGTTTTAACTTATAAATTATGTTAATGCTTACATACTCCTTAAAATAAAATATAACCAACAAAGGTGGGGAAAAAAAATCCAAAAATGGAATAACAAATTAAAAAACAAAAACAAATTAAACTACACTTTAAATACATAAGATAATCACCATAAAGGGAAAAAAACACCACAGAACCAATTCAAATAATGTTCAAATGAAATTTTGGACTGTATATCTTCTATATTTATGTAAACAAATGTTCAACTCTAATGAATAGACTTTCTTGTTTTTAACCTTAGACACATGAGTTAGTATTTCTGAAACTACTATGTATGCTATGATTGAACAAATACATATGAATAATAGAAACCAGGTTTCTCACTGTTGGAGAAAGAATTTATGCATATGAAAGAGAGGAAGGTGAAATAGACCCTGTGTTGTACTAGAATTGGGTATATTGCCATGAATTGATGGTTTTCAACATATAGAAATAGATGTGGTTGTTAGGGAACTAAGCAGAAGGAATCCCTTCCCTCAAGAATGAATACTTTTTTTAACAAAGGAAATAAGAACATAAGGTTTCCCAGCCATGAGGGACACATACCATTCTTTAGGATAGTAAAAATTATTCATAAATTGATATAAAATGTAACACCAAAGAGAAATGCTGGCTCACCACTTTTAAATGGAACACATCATGGCTTTAAATGAAAGAAAGTTCCAGAAAGGACAAGTTCATGCTGGCTTAATGAAGCCTTCATTCTTATCTCTCTAGCACTGGTAGCCAGCAGCAAAGATGGTGATAATTGGTGAGTGGCCACTGGAGGCTTCCATGGCATCCAGCAAACTCAGCTTTGAGGTCTGGAGTTACTGATAATACGCTCACTGAATAGTGCCAGGTATGAGTCCTTATTTGCTCAGATCTTTCAGAGAGGCTGAGTAGAAAGGTAGGAAAAGAGCAGATGTTATGGGGGAGGTGGCACTATTTGTTACTACACATGAGAAAATTCCTTGGTCTCTATGAGTACCCTACAATGATTGGGTGAAAACTTTACAGTTTATAGCTTTTTCAAGAGCAAATATGGGGATCACTACCTTTACCTGTCATACATATGCATGAGTGCGCACAGACATACACACACACACAAGCATTTTATGGGAACTATTATAAAACCAAAACTCCTAATGTTGAAAAATCCTATCTAATAAAAGAGAAACATGAAAATTGTCCATAACTTTGCTATGCCCACCAGCCAATCAGAGTGAGTATGCAAATTAACCCAACTAAGATGGCAGCAGCCACGGAGCTGGAGCAAGTAGGAGGCTTGGGTTATCCCTGGCAATGGAGAAAGCCAAACTTCCCACCTGCCATGGCCGACCCTGGCCTCCACTCAAGATTACAAAGTTTCAAATATAGAAGATAAATAAATCTCAGATATCTGCTTCCAGCTAGCCGTGTCCTCCACTTAATGCTGGGGGGCATGGACAACCTGAAAACCATCACAGGCCCCTCGCCCAGGCCATTCCATGTCCCAAAGGAGTCCTCATCCTGATCCTGGATACCCTTCAGGGCAAACCAGCTGGCCCACACCTGTGCACCAGGTCTCTATCCTATCTAATAAAAGATTAATATGCAAATTGACCATCACTCCAACACACAAGATGGCTTCCCCCTGTGGTCAAAGATGGTCACCACAAGATGGTCAGCAGAGGAGGACAGGTGGGAGGAAACAGGCCTGCAAGGGAAGGCAGTTGGGGATGATCAAGCCTGTAGTGGAGGGTAGTTAGAGGTGACCAGGCCTGCAGGGGAGGCAGTTGGGAGGGGGCAGGCCTGCAGGGGAGGGCAGTTGGGAGCCAGCAGTCCTGGATTATGAGAGGGATGTCCAACTTCCCCTAGGATGGGGCCTAAATGGGCAGTCAGACATCCCTCAAGGGGTCCCAGATTGGAGAGGGTGCAGGCTGGGCTGAGGAACACCCCTCCCCCTGCACAAATTTTGTGTACCAGTCCTCTAGTATAATTATAAAATACACTTTTGATTTATATATAGAATTTTAAAATGTCATCAGATATATATTTATTTCAAATTGAGATGATTTTTCTCTGTTTTTGATTATGTTAAATAATGCTTGTAATATATTTAAGAGTAATAGATACTAATGATGCTCAATACTTTTTAATGTACTTGCCTGTCTCCACTTATTGTACCAAAGCTAATTAGAAACATATTACATT